AATTTTTTTAGTTGAGGGACCAAAATGAGAGTTTAACCCGTTTAAAATTATTGTGCTCCAAACTCGTTAGAATGAAAAAAAAAAAAAAAAAAAAACCCAGCTTGTTTTTTATGGCTTGGTTTTTACTTTCTGGTATTCTGCAAAAAAATTCATTCAATGAAATGTTTTCTAGAACAAGTCGCTTTTCACCCTTTGAGATCTAATGCAATTTTATCAAGTTTTCTGCCACAATTTTCTTTTAAGATATCAAACTTCAAAGTGACGTATTTTACATTTTTTAAGGATTCATTCCAAATGCATTCTCCCTAATATAAATTAAAGAAAAGAAAAATCAGAGTTTCCCTTCTACATGCTAGTCACTGTATATTAATGCATATATTATAGACACATTAAGGTGCTCATTTCAGATAAGTAAAGTCAAAGTGGCATACCTGTGATGATAGCATTCCACGAAACAAGATCCTTATGCTTAAACCCATCGAACAGAGCCCTTGCTTCATCCATCATCCCCTGCTTAGAGAACCCTGTTATCATAGACGTCATGGCAACAACATTCTTGACAGGCATCTGCTCATACAAATCCCTAGCTTCATTAAATTGCCCATTATTTACATACCCACTTATCATCACTGCCCAAGAAACAACATTTCTTCGTGGCATGTGATTGAATAATGCTCTCGCCTTATCAACCTCCCCGGTCTTCATATAACCATCAATCATCAAGGTAAAAGATATCACATTCCTACTAGGCATTTCTTCAAATAGCTTGCTAGCATCCTCTACCCTATTAAATTTCACAAAACCTGAGATCATCACATTCCAAGACGCAGTGTTTCTCCAAGGCATTGCTTTGAAGTAGTCAAAAGCCTCATTCATGCGGTCATTCTCAACGCAGCCAGCAATCATGGAGTTCCAGGAGATTACATTCCTTACAGGCATTGAAGCAAAAAGTGTTTTTGATTCTTCAAGGTAACCGTTTTGCCAGTACCCAGTAACGATAGCGTTCCAGGAAACAACGTCTCTTTCAGACATTGTATCAAACAACTGGCGGGCAGCTTGGATGTTGCCTGCGCGTGAGAGTCGCCCGAGTCTGAGGTTGCATTGGTAAACATCTTGCGTTGAGGAGAACTTGGCTGGTACAGAAAGGGAACGGACAAGACACTGTATGAGAAATTTTGTAGAAAATATGGCAGATTTGAGGGTGCCTTGCGGAGTGAAACGAAGAAAAAGCATGAGCTAAGATCAAAAACAGAGAGAAAGCATGAAGACAGAAGATGCAGGCTGTAGCAACTAGCAAAGCGCGTTTTCCCGAACTTCAGAATTTGTCTCGCTGTTGCCACTGACTTGCTCGTCAATGATTTTTGGGTTTTAAGGCACAATATTTATTGTATTTTTTTATTATTAAATTATAAAAAAAATTAAAAAATAAAATATGACATAAAAATATTTAATTAAATAATTAATAAAATTAAAATTAAAAAATTAATATGTATGAATTACAACGCTTAACAAAATTAAAGTCAAAAGATATATTTAAAAATTTAAATCTTAATTTAAATTTTAAAATTTGATTAATTTTTAAATTTAAATATTAAAATTTAATAAAATAAAATTTTAAATTTTAACAACATAATTTAAAATTAAAATTTTTAAAAAAATTAAAATTGATATATATCTTTTAAAATTAATTTTTATTTTCTTTATAAAATTATGATAAAATCATATTATAAAATAAATAAACTCCCGACTTACACCCTTAAAATAATTACGATATTAGAAACTTAAATAATTTATATAAAACTGATAACAATAAATATACACTTTATTATTTTTAATATTAATAATTTCTAAAAATTATATTAATTATTCTCTTAAAAAAAATAGCCCAAAATAAAATAAAAACCTTTCCCATCTGTTCCCACACGCTAAACCCATAATAAGACAAAAAACCTACCATCTGTCCCCACGCGGTAGACAACCAACCAAGTGCCCCAACATAATTTATTTAAAAGAAAAGAATGGCAACGGGTCCAATGGAACCCTTCAAATCACGTCAAGAACCGCAAAAGCTTATTTCATTCATCTACGCAAACTTCATCTTTACGTTATCCAAACAAATCCAGAAAAATAGCTTGCAGATAAAAGAATTAACAAACTAAACTAGATTAGATGCAAATAATAGTTGTTCAGGCACTGCTCATTCGGCGTCCAACTAACGAAAAAGAAAAAACACAATAAGCAAGAACCATATCAGACTAAACATTTTAGAACACACCACCACCATGCCCCATTGTCATCACCCATATACGTCTAACACTACAAGCAAACTATGAATTATGAACAAAATACATCCATGATTGGAACATCAATTCTAGGAAGGGAAGGTCACTCTAGGCACGCTCCCCTCTGATCCTACGGGCCAGCTGGATATCCTTGGGCATGATGGTAACACGCTTGGCATGGATGGCACAAAGATTGGTGTCCTCGAAGAGACCCACAAGATAAGCCTCAGCTGCCTCCTGAAGTGCAAGCACAGCATGACTTTGGAAACGCAAATCCGTCTGAAACCAATTTCCGGATTAACAATTAGACATCATTCACAAATAACAACCAGAATTCAAAGGTAAACCAATCGCTTTCTTACCTTGAAGTCCTGTGCAATTTCACGAACAAGCCTCTGGAAAGGAAGCTTCCTGATCAGAAGTTCGGTACTCTTCTGGTACTTACGGATTTCACTGTACAAAAAGACATCAAAATCGGTAAGATATGATAATAAAAAAATTCATAGAAAAGAAACGAAAAAATGGTATGAAATACACAAACTCACCGAAGGGCAACAGTTCCAGGGCGGTAGCGGTGAGGCTTCTTGACTCCACCAGTGGTTGGAGCAGACTTACGGGCAGCCTTGGTAGCGAGTTGCTTCCTGGGCGCCTTACCTCCTGTTGACTTACGAGCGGTTTGCTTGGTACGGGCCATCTCTGCAAATACCGCAACCCAAAGAATCAAATCTAAGTTCTTAGGTAATGACAGAAGGAATTTACCGAAAAAAATTATTTCGAATAGAATGAGCTTTTCCATGCGTTTCAAATAATATATATACATATAATAAAAAACAAAAATAAATAAATAAATAAAAACAAAACAAAACCAAACCGAGCCAGATCTTCGAATACGATTTGCATATTACGCTATAAACTCTAATTTTTAATTCCTAATTCCCAATTAAAGCGATCTCAGAAACCCTACTCAAAATTTAAATAGCAATCGAGGACCAAAAGCAAGAAGCCTAAGTATCAAGAAGAAACACATGATAGAGAACAAGAATGAAATCAAGAAAACAAGTGAATTCACCCTAGATTCATTCCAAACAACAAATTCAATCAACATCAGAAGAACAAAACGTGAAGACACCATAATCTCCACCGGAAATAAGAACGAGATGCAGAAACCTAAACACAAAACCTAGAAATCGAACTTTCGAAGAATCTGAGGAGAAGATGAAGACTGTACCTCAAAAATCTTACAGATTCTGACTCTTCTTGCCTCTCAGAAAATAAACGCTGATAAAACTCGATTCGTTTAGAGGTCAAGGGATATTTATATAGGGGATTAAGGATCGGTGATGAAGACGATCCGACGGATAGAATAGACCATCATTGTGTTTTTTCACGATCTAATCGGACGGTCAAAACAATATCAAGTTGTGTTTTCTGGAATGAAATGGACGGTCGGATGTGACTTTTGTTGTCATGACACGGATCGTGAGGCCTTTTTACTTGATTTCTATTGGTCGAGAGAAGGAGGGTTCGGATTTTGGATTTTTATTTTTTTATCATTCGTGAAGCCTTTTGTTGTCACGACACCGACTAATTAGTTTGACCAATAATGCAACCGTCAGAATGTACCATTTTCACGTTCAACAACCAGCAAAAAAGACCACCAGTCCCATGTGATAAATGTCTTTAAATAAATAAGAAAATTTCATCCTTTTTTTTTATATATTTTATAATACGTTATAATTTAAATTATATACAATTTTTAATAATAAAATTATAAAATAAAATTATAAAATTTAAATAGTAAACTACATAATATTAATTATTAGATAAAACTTAGATCCCTTAATATTAAGAGTCATTTTCCCATTCAATGGTATTTATCTTTTAATCTAATATAATTTAAATTGTAAAATAAAATTTTCATAAAATTATATGGGGTTTTTTAGGAAAAAATATTTGTGTTTTTAATCATATATTTAGGATTACATGTTAGACACTAATTTTATTAAAAAAAATTATTAAGAAAGTTTGAAAAATAATTGCATAAAAGGTTAAAATGTTTTGTAATTAAGTTTTCTTTGAATTTAGTTGTGTTGTTAATTTTTTTGTTTGATAAAAAAATTAACATATGAAAATTGTTAGGAAAATTCCTCACGTAGAGAGAGTTAAAGAAATTTTTTTTTCAAAAAATCAAAGAAAATTCTTAATTGAAAATTTTGTTAAGAAAAAAAATAAAAATGTCATTTTTATATTTTTTATTGTGTTATTAATATATAAAAATATATAAATAATCTAATAGAAAAAAAAAAGTTTGAAGGTAAATTTCCGTCCATCTAACACACCCTTTAAAGTTTAATATCTTAATTTAAACTTATAAAATGATACTTATTTCTTAATAAATTTAATACTTAAAATTAAAAGATTGTTTGGTAAAACTTAAAAGCAAATTTACTTTTAAAGAAATTCTTGCCTTACAAAACTTTTTAGAAAAAATTTTAAAATTGACTTATTAATAAATTTTGAAAAAAAAAGTTGTCGTATTTAAAGCATGAATGGGTTTCTACCAAAAACACAAAAAGCATGAATGGGAAGTCTAAATGTTGAAGGCAAATCCAAAGACACGTAGGAAAGGCATCTATTTCTTTATTTTGCAAGAAAAAATATAGGGAAAAACTCACGCCTTGCCCCTCACTTTATTGACTTTGAGGATTTTTGTCCCTTACCTTATAAAGTGAAGATATTTGTCCACTTACTTTTCAATTTGAGCAATGAAGTAAAATTTAACATTTTATAGTCACATACAACATGCAGGTGTTAGTCTTTCGTGATCCATGCAAACATTACCATCACTTGAACACTCATTTTACACGTTGCTATTGCAAGCGTTAGTCACATTGACATTTATTTTACCTATTTTACTTGTTTATTTTCACTTAATTTAAAAATAAAAAAAAATTACTTTTGTAATTTAGATTATATTAAATTATAAAAATAATACTCAATTAAAAGTTATCGTTAAAGAATAGTCACCTTGACAGCTGGCATTTCCTTTCAAATTACTTTAATTTAATTGAAAACTAAAGTTGGTAAATCAGCAGGAGAAAGAAAGAGGGTTAAAGTAAATGTAAGAACTAAGAAGGACTGAGTTCACCAATCACCATACAGACAGCTCCGAATGTTAGATGCACCCAAATCCAAGGCCAATTTTGGAATGCTCCCAAATTGTTTTAACATTAACAATATTACATTTATAATGTTACAAACAATTCTAAATTTACAATGATAATATATATTATTCAATAAATAAATATATTAAATATTATTAATAGAACTTTAAATAAAAAGAGTTAATTATGTAATGATTTTAAATTTTCAAAAAAATATAATTATAATATTACATAAAAATATAATTTTAATGTTAAAAATAATATAATTATAATATTATATGATATTTTAACTTTATAATATAACATAGTACTATGTAATTAATTTTTTTTACTCAAAAATTACTTATAATATTATATATATTTATTAATTTAAAAACATATTAAACACATTAATAATAAATTATAATTTTACATAATACTATAATTATAATATTTCCATTCTAATATTAGGTATCTATAAACGGTAAGTTTATGATTATGAAGTCTCCAATGAAAATGAAAAGGTTAAATGCTCATTTTGGTCCCTCAACTTTAGTGGTTTGCACATTTTTG